CAATGGCTTTTGAGGTGCTTTTTTCTTTTTTTCTGTTTTTTTTTTGGTGGGGGGGCGGATTTCCTTCACAAAGCAAGAATTTTTATATCCAGTGGGAGTCTTTATAGCCACTGAGAAACTATCTCTGTAAGATAAAAGTTTCCTCATCTGTAAAATGGCAACACCACTAATATGACATATTTTATAAGATAATTGTGAATGTGAAGTTAATGCCTACTTGTGAAGGTCAACACAGTAGTTGGGAATATATTGGTTATGTTACCTTTGCAAAATATCACTTGCCTTTTTAGGCCTGTTCCCATTGAATGACAAATCTGTTTATTGAGCCAAAAAACAGCTCCTGGAACTATGCAGAATAAGTCAAATCCACCATCTACATTAATAGTCCTTCAAATACTTGAAGACAGCTTTCATGAATTTAATAACTGCTTTCTGTGGCTTCTTTTTTTTTAATTTCAAGAATAGAACACAGTAGACTGTAAAAATGAGCATTATCAGTCTTCCTTTGGATTTTCTATGTAAATGTTGTTTAACATTCAAATGGTGCTGATTATAATTTGAGATATTAACAGTTAGATATGCCATTGTGTCCCTCTGTTATTGTTTGTAAAGGAGGTTAAACAGTATATTAACTTCTGAGTAGTGATTTACTGTTGCTTTTGTCAGAGAAAAATAAAAAAGAAGTAAAATAATATAATTTGATATTGCCTTTGAGACTTTTCAGTTTGTAGAAGTCTTTATTTCCTACTCAATTTTATTTTTTTAAAAAGCACACATGTAGTGTAAATACAGCATCACACAAACGCAGAGTTGTTCTTTTCTTCCTGGATTAAGCTGTTGTGTAATATTGCTCTGTAACCATTAAGCAGCTGCTCTGCCTCAGAGATGCTCATATTTCCTTTGGTAGACGAAGGGAATTTACTATACAAATGTCTCCAAATTGCTTTAAGATCTTTAGCTGTTGTATCAGCTATTTCGATTTACGGTGGTCTGTGAAACGTGAAAAACATGTTCCTGAAAGGCCCCAGTACCCTGGAGGTTACAGATGGGGTTATGCTAGCAGCAGATAACCTGATATTTTACTGAGTCTCACCCCTTATCCTACTGCAGGACCCCTGACTCATTGCAAAATCCTCCCAGTTATTTTGCCATAGCCCTCAAGTATTGTCTTCTGTATGCTAATGAGTAAGCACTAGTAGGTATCCAAGTACTATTTTAAGTATCTGAGTACTATTTCATCCATGATTTCTTTTTCACTCTACCATGTCTTGGGAAATGTCTGTCCATTGCAAAGGCTGTGCTGCCTGCAGAGATGTATGAAGGTGGCAGCCATCTGGTTCAGGTGCTCCTCCCAGACTATCCCTCTTACCTGATTCTCACCTGTCTCTGTTCCCACAGATACATGGTTAATAGGCATCACCACTCATCCTCAAGAAACCTTCCTCCACTAAAGTCTCACTGGGCTCCATGCAGGAGTAGAGCCCAATGGGACGTGTGTGGTGTTTTGCATTTTATCCAGTAGGTTCCAAAGAAGTTCTGATATATTTCCAATGCTTTTCATAGTTTCCGTAAACTACCTCTTTCCATTGTTTCTGTAGATTCGAATTTCTTAGAACCTGGGGAGTTGGGGGTGAGGAGTGGAGAAACACCCTGCTACATTCTGAATTGTCTTCTTTTTTTCTGTGAATAGCTACAATAGTCATTGTATTGTCTATGTTTGACTGCCTGTCTTCCCACTGTTAGAATTGGCCTTGAGCTTGCTTATCCCTTCTTCATGATTTGGCTTCCAGCAGGCTCACACCCCAGTCCATCTTAGTGGTCATGACTTAGGAGTAAATGGATCTCTGACTCCTCATTGGAGTAATAAGGAAATGAACTTCAGATTACACATACATATTGCAATGTTATTATGTATTACATCTGATATAGTTTATGTAAACACATTGAAATGTTCATCATTTATTCATCAATTTATTTAACAAGTATTTTGTGGCTCTTACTATTTAAACACTTCCAGTTCCTTGGTTTTTACTTTGTATAAATGCCTAACATTACACATTAGTACACAACAAAGTAAGAGATATAATCTGACCCTAATCATTACTCTTTCTCATGTGACCCGAAACCCTAAATACACTCTTCAGCAAATAAGTTCTAGGGAATAACAAAAGTTAGTATAATTATCCATGAATCTTAAACTATCTGTATCTACACTGTAATAAAATGACTAAGATGTTAATGTGTGACCCTGTTTTTAAAGTTGAATTTTAGAATTTTGTTCTGTGTTTATTTAGTACTTACTCTATATATAGGCAATGAGTTAGTCATTAAGGAAGATAAAGAGATGAACAAAACCCAGTCACTTCCCTAACTAAAGGAGCTGATAATCCAGCAATGACTGCAAGACTTGAAAACAGATCTCTTAGAAAATCTGAAAGTACAAAGTATAAAATTAGTCCAAAGTAGGAGCTATGCAAGTACAGAGGAAAGAGATTTCTGGCTGGGCCACTGGGTGGGAGAAGGAGGTGGAGGAGCAGTTTACAGAGTGGGTGGTGGTTGGGTTGGATTTTTGAAGGATGAGACTAGAGTGTGTAGAAAGAGGACCGTCTCATCGCAGGGAACTGCAGGAGGAAGATATGAAGGTAGGCATTTACAGAGTACACTTGGGTGATGAAAAATAATCTTCTGTGACTAGTTAAGTATATGAGCTGTGGTCATGATAAGGAAAGTGTTTTTTTTTTGTTTTGTTTTTTGTTTTGTTTTGAGATGGAGTCTTGCTATATTGCCTAGGCTGGAGTGCAGTGGCTCCTCTCGGTTCACTGCAACCTTTGCCTTCTGAGTTCAAGCGATTCTCCTGCCTCAGCCTCCTGAGTAGCTGAGACTACAGGTGCCCGCCACCACGCCTGGCTAATTTTTGTATTTTTAGTCGAGATGGGTTTTCACCATATTGGCCAGGCTGGTCTCAAACTCCTGACCTTGTGATCCACGCACCACAGCCTCCCAAGATAAAGAAGGTTTTTGTACTTAATATATTTACTTTATTAAGTTTACCCTACATAAAATAAAATATAATGAACTATAAGCAATAGCAAAAGCAACAGAAATCTTTCTATATGATGGTAAGTTACAGTGGTCCAGAAGAGTCAAAAACATCTCTTTCCCCAACCGGCAAGGCAGTCAATGTCCTTTTTTTGTATTCGTGACTTTTAGCACCTTGTCCAGTGACTGTTACATAGAAGTTTCTCAATAATTACTGAAATGAATTTAACCTGGTAAAAATTAATTGCTCAAGAAATAAGAGTTTCTTAAAATAGAAGTGCATTAAATTGGGACATTTTGTTATAACACTCTTAAAAATGTATGTGTATTTTTTAGAGTAATGACTTAATGTGGCACCTGTTTTATCCCCTACTGAGATCTTACAATTTCCTCTCACTCCTTCTTTCATTCTGTTTCTAAAGGTGGGTGGGTGGATGTCAAACATCAATGGCTCCTCAGTTCACAGCAGTGAAACATATATGCTAATTGAATGATTTTCTGTCTTTTCATGCTATGTATGGTTGAAAAGCAGTGTGGTGCCTTTTGTTCTGGTAAATTTTCTGAATAAAGATTTACGGATCATTTTGGACTGTCTGGAGGCCAGTGTGCATAATTCGGTGTATGACTGATCACAGGTTCCACTGGCCCATCTTAATTTATTGGTAACGTTTTAACCAGTGTTTACTATGGGGTTTATATTTTTATCTCCCTTAGTAACAGCTCTGTAAGATAGGTGATTTTTATTGTCTCTAATTTGTAAGTGAGGAATCTGAGGCAAAAAGAGGACTAATAACCTACCCGAGACTTCATAACTGGTAATCCGTGGCTAGAATTCAAATCTCAGCTCTTTGATTTCAGTGCTCCACGTTGCTACACTACCCAAGCCTCACATCTTTGAACTGAATCTAATTCCTTGGTCAGCCCTAAAGCTTTATATAAAATCCAGTCAAATTGCCAGTTCTTGGAATCTAGTTTTGTTTGTTTGTTTCTCAGAAGTATTTCAATTTTGAGGATTTTCAAACTTATTCTCTCCCTAGGACAGAAGCAATTAGGCTATAACCTCCCCCCATAAGGTATTCCCTCCCTCCTTACACACACTCATTACACTTCCTTAACATAAATGAGAATGGGGTGGACTGGGTGCAGGGTTACTGCTGTTTGTGGGAGTTCTCGTCTCTAGTTTTGGACATAGTTAGACCAGCTAATAAGCAGGCTCCATGGCCACTGTGCACTCTGTCCAGGTGTGACTTAAGGGTCATGTGGCATTCCCAGAGGCCTAGATTCACCACCATTTGCCAGAAAAGGTGTCTGATTTTTGAAATAAAAGGAGTCCAGTGGAATAGTAGCAAGGGTGAGGAAAGCAGTGAAATCGTGCAACGTATATTAAAGATGCCCAGAAATAGGTCAATGCAAAGTTCTGTATTTGCTGTATATACAAGTTCTGCTTTTTATGTTATTAGTGACCCTGGAACAAGGGTGGGGGTGCTGGTAATAGCAGCTCACTTTTCTTTAATCAGAGAAGGTTTTACAAAAGAACAGTGGTTTTAAGAGATCTTTGACGTTATTCCAGCAAGGTGCTAATTGTGGTTGTGGTTTCCTTTTCCTTTCTTTCATTTTTCACTTTAGTCTACCAGGTGCTACTGAGTCAAAAGCATTCACTGAGAGCCCACAGACCATTCTGTATGCATGCGCTATGGCAAATCAAACCGCATCAATAACCCTGTACTTTTACAAAGGGAAGAAAAAGTTTTCCTAAGAGATTATTTGGTATCTAAACTTTTTATTTTTGTTTAAACAAACCTAATTTGCATTCATAAGAGTTATTTTTTAAAGTCTATATTGTAAGCATATTTGGTTTTTGTTCAAACCTTTGGCTTTAAAACACTTAAATTCTAGTGCGTAATCATTTATTTTTGCTGTCTGCTTATGTTGATCATTTTTCCTTTAATGTTTATTTTTAGGATACCTTGAGGATAGTTTTGTAAAATCTGGAGTCTTCAATGTATCAGAACTTGTAAGAGTATCCAGAAGTAAGTAAATTGTTTTCTTACTACTTAAGCATGCAATATGATTTAAAATACGTTATATTTTGAACCTTAAATATAGTATAAAAAGTGACCACGTATTAGGAACATTTGAATTTTAAAATCTTAAAACTTTTGATGAAATAATAACTGAATATATTTTGCTTGATTTTCTAAAATGTTTGCATTGAAATCATCAAAACTTTTTGTTGTACAAAAATAATTTTGTTTTTTTTCTGATTGCCATGTTATTGGTATTCATTTAATTCACTGTTCTCTGCATGACCATAGATGGCCATTTATACCAAAGGAAGTGTGATTAATTAAATGTACTCTATGTTGTTATGATAACCCACATAAGTTTCCTGTAGATAAGTGCTTTTTCATTTTACTAACATTTTGGTGGGGGTTGGAGATGTACAGGATATACACACTAACGTGCAGAGTGTAGAGGGATGCAGAAATTAACTTTGCAGATTGTAGTTGGATATAGATAGAAAGCATTGTTATCCAAAACAATGTCCAATTGTTTTAACTGGCCACTTCACCTGAGACACCATTCTTGGCAGGTTGGATCAGATTTTTCTAGGGTAAGCTCACCTGGCAGGGTACCTAAGCAAAGGGGACGTTACCTTGATTAACTCTTTTACTTATTGCTAGCATGTACAAACATATCCAAGATGCAGATCTGTATGTACTAATTATGTTAAAGGAGATGACTCCTTTCTTCATACTCCCTTCACTGATTTAGCTTATTTATGTGACTTCGAAGGATATAGTTTCACCTGATATTTTGATAGAATGCATCACACTTTGGAATGATGTTATTCAAATGATGTAGTCACACTCTGAAACTTGCCTAAGTTGTGTTTCTCATTTGGGTCAAATTTAGAGGTCATGAATAAGAATTATGATGATCCAGAAAGAACAGAGTAAGCGAGTTACTGAGGATAAGAATAAGCAGTGTTTTAAAGTCTTGTTATTCAGTAAAGGAATCTCCAAGCTATCACTGACTGGCTTTTGAACCATAGTTCCTCAAATAGCTCACATTTCTAAAGTGAACAGTGCAAATAGCATGTATAGCAGGGAGTGATATACATGAATGTTTAAGACCGTAAGTAGTTTATCCTTTCTGGTATAATTCTGGAGTAGATAAATATATGCCCAAAAGACTTCTCTCATGGGTCTTTTTACTTGGTGACAGTGTAGGAGAAGAAACACAAATATCCTGTATTCCGGTAGCCCCAGGGTATGTATTCGATGGGCAAGGAGATTGTCCAAGGCAATGTGCCTTAATGTGTTTTTCCAGATGAATATGTGATATCCAAAGGTATCCAACATTTGAAAGTTTTCATTGTTAATTTGGGAAGAAATATGCCTGACTTATCAGTAGCACTTTGTAGCATCAGGTAAGACAGGGGATACCTGAAGGGGTGTGTGTGTTTTCCCCACACTGTTCTTTAGCAGAAAGTCTTATGCTGCTACAGTTAGGAGGCTTATGAAATTATTTTCTTAAATTCGTACTTCTCTGAGTTCAAGTTCAATGGTGTATTTTCATCCTTCTTAGGAGAAGGGCAGTAGAGTCAGCTGTCAGAAAATATTTATTTAGTACCTCATTATAGGTAATGCTATGCTAAGGACTGTCAAAGGAGAACTACATTAGAACCTTCAAAAGCCCAGACAGATATTTTGAAAAATCTGAATTTCAAACATTAAAGATGAAAATTATCTTTCTAGAACAGTTTAAAACCAAGGTAAATTTAATATACTTCATTCATTCATTCTTAACTTATAAAGTCATATCCTGGAGATTTTTAGGTTATTTGTTATAACAAACATTACTGATTTGTAATTAGCACATTAATTATCTATATTCATTAGATAATTTATTCAGCAAACATTTATTTTCTCCTCCATATGTAAATAGGTGTCTCTGAAAGGCCTGATAAGTTATCCTCCTAAGTGTTTTAATATAGCCACATCATAATCTTTGTTTACACAATTAAACTTCATTATTTATGAAATAAAGGCTTGCTAAGTAAACATAAACTTCAGCACAATACTTATGTGTGTATCACAAATTCTGACTTCTTGAGGGTTTACAGTATTCTAGTGTTTTCAGTCCTCTAGAGTTTTACAATCTTACGACCCACTGATGTGTATGTTGACTTTAGCTAATGAAGCTATTCAGCATTAGGATAGTGAGCTCTCTGTTGAATGATATTATCTCCATCTTAAAAGTTGATTTAGGATCAGCTTTTGGAGTGAGGAGAACAATAAAGGAGATTAAAGGTTGGCCTCTAACCCTTAGAATCTGCGGTTCTTTGGTGCTTCATTTCTGAGAGGATATTGGCAACCTCTTAAACATGATTTGCAGCTTTCAGCCTTCTTGTAGCTCCCTGGGAGAGGCGCTAACACTGATCTTTGCATCTGATGTAAGTTCTTCCAGAGGCTGTTAAACAGGAATATCTGACTGAGACTTGCTGTTCTCACACACTCTCTTTGTCATTAAATAATTTCCATGTGTGTTGTTTTAGTGCTTTGGCCATGTTTATTGTTAATCTACTTTCCTTTCTGTAATCTCCCATTTAGTGTCACAATACATACTAAATTTTTACAGTGCTCATGCATAAATCTGTAGACAAATTATTTTATTGCTATCTTTACAAAATTAAAACATAATATGTGTACATATTTATGGAATCCATGTGATCTTTGAATCCGTGCATACAATGTATAATGATTAAATCAGGCTATTTAGGATATCTGTCATCTCAAACATTTGTCATTTCTTCATGTTGGGAATGTTTCAAATCTTCTTTTCTTGCTATTTTGAAATATGTAGTATATTGTTAACTATAGTCACCCTGCTGTGCTATCAAATATTGCAAATTATTCTTTCTATCTATTACAACTGTATGTTTTTACCCATTAACCAATCTCTCTTCATCTCCCCACCTCCCCACCCTCCCCCACCTCTGACAACCCCTTCCATGAGATCGACTTTTTAAGCTCCCATGTATGAGTGAGAACATGCTATATTTGTCGTTTTTATTGCTGTCTTGACACTCTGGAGTAATCCTTCTGGAACAAAATTTAGAAAAAAACAAAATTTCTGAAGATTTTAAAATTATCATTTACTACAAATTACATCTAGTTGATTTATGGGTAAGCAAATTACGTTAACTATGGAGCCATATGTATTCAGTAGAAACTATAAATCTTTGCCTAAATATTGTATGAGCTTAATAAATTGAAAATAGTTTATATAAGGGAGAACCTCTAAGTTTCCTGTTAGTAACTCAGGTCTATGATTGTATCCATTACTGTGATGGGAAGCCAGACAGATTGTTTACTTCAATTGAGCCCCTGAAATACCTCCTTCTAGCATGTACCCCACTTCCAGTGTCATATAGAACATGGTTCTAATAATAAATGATAAAACATGTGGTTACTGTGGGATTTCTTACCTCACTTTTTTTTAACCTTTGTTGTGCCTCAAGCCACAACAGACATAGCTACATTTTAGCTGTCCAAATAATTCAAGCCATCAGGCATAGTTACTCATTGGATACAAATATTTTCCGTGTAAAGGATGTTACAGTGTATTATATAATATGAACAATCTATCAGAAGACCAATAGATACTCCAGAAGTTTGGAGCTGATACGAATCATGTATATACTGATGTATTTAAGTTTTAGTCGGGAAAGAGAGCTGTTCCTTTTGTGTTCCTTGGTCACTTCTCTGTGATAAAGCTTGTACCTCCTAATTTACTTTCTTAAAAATATTTTAAGTTAATCTTAGCCTGCCTAATATTAAAATACAATTCAAAGGATAGTGAACACATTTAGAGTATTCATTAAAAATGATGGGTAAGAAAAATTCCATAAAAATCTGCAGTCTCTGTGGAATTTTATACTTAACTTGAGGCAATTGGGAGGGAGGAGGCGATTAAGTAGACCACGTATGCTTAGAGTGAATCTCAGGGGCTCTAGAATTTTGTTGCAAAGCCCCAGGGTGCACTTTCATTTGAGCTTTTGAAGGGCTGATTAACACAGGTAAAGAAATGGAAACTATTCTTAAGCAGTTCTTTGACACCGACCTGCCTGGTCTCCACTTTACACATTGTCTCTACCTATGATTTTACTTCTGCAGCAGTCCCTGTTTAGAATGACCTTCCTCTAATCTCTTACTCATTCTCCAAAGTCCAGTGCCAGCCATGGCTTTTCACAGACTTCTTGGACAATTCATGCTGCTATTGGATTATTTTTCCCTTGAAATTCGACAGCACTTTTGGATCATGTCATTAATTTGGACAGTTTAATTTTCATGTGTTTTGGTATTTATATGTTTCGCATGAATGTTTTACTTACCCAGCTTGTTGCCCAATATTTTTATTAAGGGCAATATGAGACTATTTTGTACCCATTGCAGCCAACACCTGCCAGCAATGGACACAGTCCATAATTTGTTGAATGAACATATTTTCAGCAGACAGGTTCATTTATACCTCTTCCTCTGCTTTTAACAAGTTTGAACTGTTCATCTTTGCTAACCATTCGAGTCTACCAGGGAGGAAGTTTGGAGGAGAAAGCAAAGAAGGAAGGGAACTCACAATCGTTGAGCACCTGTTATACACTAGGCTCTTATCACTACCTGTTTCATTTCATCCTCAAAATAATCATACGTGTCAGGTTGTTATTACTCCCATTTTATAGTTAGGAAACTAGGGCACATAGCTTATAAGTACAGAGGGAGTTTAAACTAAAAGGCTATTTATCTCTCAAGACTCTGCTGATTCTAACACAATATGCTGCCTCACAGATTTGTTCACGATATCTAAAATTAAATTAAACAAATTTGAACAGATGTAATTATACAAAATATCATGAGATATTTTGATAAAGACATGCAATGCATAATAATCACATAAGGGTAAATGGGGTATCCATCACCTGAAGCATTTATCCTTTGTGTTACAAACCAAAAATTATTATTCTATAATAATATCAACATTACTATTTGAGTGGATTAGAAGTCATGATATTAATAATTATTATTATATTCTAACTAGGAGGCTGTGAATAATAATTTTTGCTATTTTTTTTGTGAAACGGTTCTATGTTTATTTGACAATGATTTGATTTTTGAGAGCTTAAGTAGTGCAAAGCAGCTTGTTTGGTGTTGCTGAGTGATAGGACTCATATATTCTGTTTCCTCCAAGGCGTTTGTAGCCAGCAGAGTGACAGATGTAATGTCAGCTAATATAAAAGAGTGAGTAAAGAAGGTTGAGGAATAGGATTAGGGAAATTGGTAACCAGTAATTATAATCTGATTGCCTCAAATGTCCAAGCTTGAACGTTGCTAAGGTAAGCAAGTTTTCAAGTCCTATCCAGGTTGTATGGTGGGTATTAGAGGCTTAAGGTGAAGAAAGTTCTCTCTATCTTTGACCAGAGGCATGGAAGATTCTCGATTATTGCATTTGAATAGAGGTCAGAAATAAGAATGTCATTCCCAATGCTTCTTTGTCTTATTCCTCAGCACCCATAACCCAGGGAACTGGAGTCAACTTCCCAATTGGAGAAATCCCAAGCCAACCATACTATCATGACATGAACTCGGGGGTCAATCTTCAGAGGTCGCTGTCTTCTCCTCCAAGCAGGTAACTGAAAGAAGGGCTGCTCATATTCTCAGTTGATACACACATAGGTCGGTAGGTGGATGATAGGCAGATAGATAGGTAGGTAAGTAAAGAGAGATGGGAAATAATTTTTGCTGGTAGTACACAGATTTTTAATCTTTCCTGGTTAAATTTATTTGGCTGGTACAAATTAAATGTAATTGTTTTACACAGCAGTTTTAAAAATCTTTTTCAGGGGGACAGGTAACTAGGAAAATATATTAATATGATTTTTGTCCTGTTGTAGGAAATATTAAAATGCTGCAAGTTAACAAAATATTTCGATGACTTTAAAAATGATGTTGCTGTGGCAGTGATATCTGGTTTATAACTGATTCCTGGTAACTTTTATCCAAATATTACATCTAAGCTTAGGATAATGAAACATAAAAAATAAAATGTGTCATTTACCTAGCCTTAAAATTAAAGACCACAGTTTGCCAAGTTCTTCAATTAGCTGATTTTTTTGACTAATTTAATTAATACTCTGTTACCAATGAAAATATTACCTTCCCTGAGATTTGGTTTAACCGGTCTATGTTGGGGGTCAGCTAGAGAGAGTTCTCTTTGCTTTTTGACTTCTCTGTTAACATTCTCATTTTTTTTACTGATCTCATTGTAATTGTCAGTCAGGGTGAATAGAGATTACAGATGTATTTTTTTTTTTTTTTTTAATTTGAGCTAGATCTTCGAGACCCATCTCATTCCTAGAGCATTAAATATATGTGTAATTAAATATAACAGCATACATGAATTCTAGAGCAAAACACTCATTTTACAATGTGAACTTTTTAAAAACAAAAGCATACCTGTGTATTTATTTTCCTAAACTATTGTCGGTAGTGAAAGTTCGTTGAATTTGAATTAATTAGGGACTGGGCATATTTGTATGTTTATAAACTAAGATCAATTTTATATCAGTTCTTGTTAAACCATTTTCATATAGTTAAATTATGTAGCAAGATAATTTGGTTTATTATCATTAAAATAGTCTCTGACATATCAAAGTCTTAAAAATGCTTTGGTTTTTCTAAATTTAAAATGTGAGTAGTAATTTTTAAATTTTATCTGCTAAATCAGTATGTTGTCAACACAGATCTTTCTTCATGACTACTTTATATAAGATACTGTCTTTCAGAATAAGCAAGGTTTAAAAAACATTTCTCTCTTACTTCCTTATGCATATAATTTGTTCCCCATTTTAAGTTTTTCAAACAAATTTTCTGCTGACTCATAGACGAGAGAATTAGATTTAAAAGAGAGTTAAAATATAAGGTCTAACTTTGGATACTTTGGTAAGAAACTAAGCTTAGCATGGATAGAAATTGCCATCTTCTACATCATGTTAATACTCTGAGAATTGTGAGTCAAATATTAATCATGAGTATCTACAAATGTACTCAGACATACATATACATGATTCAAGGGCTTGGAAGCACAGTGCAGTGGAAAGAGTGCACTTCTGGAAGTCAGACATCCTTACCTTATGTCTGACTGCTTCCATTCACTTGCCCTGGACAATCCACTGAGTCTCTCCAAATGTGTCTCCCCATTTGTAAAAACAAGGGGATTGGTTTATGAATATGATTTTTGAGGTCAGTTTTAATGCTGAAATCCTATAACATTATGGTTATTATTGCTGCAAAAAGCTAATTTTGAAGATATTTTGAAAGGTTTTGACAGATAGGTGTGAATAAGATTTCTTTTATTTAATTAAAGAAAAAATATTCACTGGGCACAGTGACTCACATCTGGATTCCCAGTACTTTGGGAGGCCCAGGCAGGAGGATCACTTGAACCTAGGAGTTCAAGACCAGCCTGGACAACTCGCTCTCTACAAACAAATTTTTAAATTTGCAAGGCTTGGTGGCATGTGTATGTGTTCCTAACTATTTGGGAGGCTGTGGTAGGAGGATCGCTTGAACCCAGGAGCTTGAGGCTGCAGTGAGTTGTGGTCATGCAACTGCACTCCAGCCTGGACAACAGAGTGAGACCCTGTCTCAAAAACAAACAAACAAAAAAAGAAAAAATTCACATTTATAGTCATAATTTCATAATTATCTGCTTTATAGGATATTGGTGGGGGCATATGTAAATATTCTGAGGTACTATTGCTTGTGCTTTTGAAAATTTTCACAGTAAGGATCTTCTCAGATCATTTACTTTCAAATGTACACATCTTCCCAGAAATCCCATTAATATAACTATTGCCATATTTTAACAGCAAAAGACCCAAAACTATATCCATAGATGAAAATATGGAACCAAGTCCTACAGGAGACTTTTACCCCTCTCCCAATTCACCAGCTGCTGGAAGTCGAACATGGCATGAAAGAGATCAAGGTGAGTAATAAGGAGATGCCTCTAGAGAGATGAGTAAAATGTTGGCTCGTTTCTTAAGTTTCGTTTAGTCAAAATTTCATAATTAAACCAATATGGATTATATATTGTTTTCATCAAATGATTCCTGTAGAATTATTTTTGAGATAATATATTAGTCAAATGTCAAAGTTAATTTATCCAAAATCTTATTTTTACATGTTTCATTGGGCTTTTCTTCAGACAAAATGATATTTTAGAACCCACAATTATGTATGTGACTGATTATGGTCTGTCTACATTTGTTGGTTGGAGTACAGCAGAACCACAAACTGTGATTCAATTAGATCCGCCTGCTCCTCTCTATGGGGCGTTGCAGGGAGCCAAACTTTAAGCAGTTTGCAAGTGCCAGGAACTGAAAGTTGTCATTTAAAGGAACCTGCAGTTCCTTTTGGAAGTAGATAGACCATATACAATAAAGAAAAGTGTAATGTAAGATACACTGTGTCAGAGTCAATCTAGCTATGCTTTCTAGATAACACTGTGACCCAGTTCTAGGATAGCTTTGCGGATAAGTATAACTTTAAGAAATGGGTATTGAGACCCAGAAGGATTGAGACTTAGCTCTTCTTAAAGTCTGTCGGATTTAGTATATTTCATCACACATATCCATGCTTTCCCCCACAATCAGAGGGAGATTATTAAGCATGGAAATAGAAAAATTAGCTAACGGCTGTTTTTGTTGGTATATAAGCATGTGTGCAAGTAAGATCTTATGTCAGCCGCATAAACATGTATTTTTAAATTGTCTTTTAAATATAATTCTGCATTAAAAAAAATCTAGCCTGGGCAATGTGGCAAGACCCCATCTCTACAAAAAAATACAAAACATTAGCCAGGCATAGTGGTGTGCGCCTGTAGTACCAGCTATTCAGGAGGCTGAGGTGGGAGGATCAGTTGAGCCTGGGAAGCAGAGGCTGGAGTAAGTGTGATCGCACCACTGGACTCTAGCCTGGGTAACAGAGTGAGACACTGTCTTAAAGAAAAAAAAAAATCGAAAAGAAAGGAATAATGGTTTTCAGCCCAAGACTTGGGTATGTATTGGTGAGGGTTGGGGTACTCTATGTTGAGTACTCTTAGGAGACACATAACTCTGGGCCTTAACAGTTAAGGCCAAAGTCAGTTCCTTATTCAGTGCTCCTTTTTTGGTGCTCAAATTTTTAATACCCGAGTGCCAAGGGGTTTAAAGAAGAATGAAAAATCTTCATAGAGACATTGACCTTTGAGTCAAGTGTACCTCCTTTAGCACAACTGAATCAAAGCTCAATTCCTAAATCTCACCTAAATCTCCTTGAGATTTTAACTAATAAAGAAGTGAGAGGCTGAAGGGGGTGGCAGTGGGAACTGAGACGAAAGCATAGCCATGTGTTAGGTGGGGAGGCAAATTTGAGAATGGCTGTGTGTGCCATGTGGCTGGACACGGTTCACATGGAGGAAAATAATGGAGATGACAAGGGTCATTTTATGCAAGGATTTGAAACTCAACTGGAGAGAGTTTGACTGTGAGACCCCCCTCAGAGGGAATTTTGTCTCTGAGACTGTCCTCATGAGAGACCCCACCAAATCTATTTTTCAGGCAGTAGGCAAAATCATCTTTATAAAACGTAAATAACAGCATATGACTCCCCTACTTCAGATCCTCTAGTCACTGCCCACTGCTCTCAGGAAAAAATGGGAATTTTCTTGTATGACCAACAGGCCTGGCCTGTGACTGCCACCATAGCCTTGGCAGGTGACATTCTGCTTTCCCTTACTTGCACTTGAGCCCACTGCCTTATTTAAAGTTGGGAATTCAACACCCATAACCTTTCTATAAGTTATGACCTCTGGAATGCTCTTCTAACTCTTTATCTGGCAAACTCTTTGTCATCCTTCAGAGCCCAGCTTAAATTGAGAAATTTCAATTTAAATTCTGTCTTCTAGTTTTCTCTGTCAACACCCAGTACTGTTCTTTCATTGTACTCATAATATGTAATCATATAGCTATTTATGGGATTAGTTGTCTAAATCTGTCTACACTGTGAGAGCAGGGACCTTATCTATTTTGACTACTACTGTAACAACCACTTAACACACACTTGGTGCATAGTAGGAGTACAATAAATAGTTGTATAAATGAACCATTGATAGGCAGAACACCAGTCTTATTAGTGAAGGCAAGATATAATAGAGACTTTTACCAGAGTTGCAGAAATGAAACGAAAAACAAAATCCTCAACCCTTAATATTTTATTGCTTGTTTTACTGACATTGTCAGCTTATTCTAAACAAAGCCATAGTTTCCCTGTCAGAAAATTCTTCTGGAAAAGATTCTAATGGTAATAACCTTGTGAATGTGTGGGAATGGATGTGTTATTCAGAAGTGTAGGTGTTCTTTATTATAGAGAGTGTCACTTTGTAAGAATTGATTCCTCTTTAAGCCTATTGAATAAAGCCAATCTCAAATCATATTATAAAACATTTTTGAAAAGTAGAAGGGAAACTGTCATTCTTTTTCTTTGTAAAATCATTGTATTGTCTTGGTGATTTTCTTTTGTCAAGATGACTAGACTTATTGGAGGAGTCTGTAAAGGCATATTAAGGGTAAGGAAGAATATTTCATTCTCAAGTGTGCTTTTTACACACACACACACACACACACACACACTCTGTCACTTTAATTCTGAAGACCCTGAAGACTTTGTAATGTGCACAATAAGCCATTGTGGGAAGAAGACTCAACTACAATGAAGAAATGCAGGCAATACAGTACTATCTTTATAAATTTGCTAAGCCCAATGCAGTCCTTTTGTTCTTAGAAAATTGCTTTTTAAAAATTTGCAAAATAAAATGCCCAATGGTTGTTCTTGTCCATCTTCTAATGTTCTTTAGACACACTTGCCTGTGATGGAGGGAGTTGTCTAAAGCACATATTGAGTGCCACTCCAATCATTGTAATAGCTTTGACATGTCTTGTATTTATAATATTTTCTCCTACAAAGCCCTGCACTAATTGATACTCAATAACTATTTATTGGTTGATTAAAATATGCTTGTGTTTAAAATGGGCAGAAATGCTTAAAATTTACTATTAATTATTTCCTGGGTATGCCTTATTCTGTTAGTGTTAAATTTGCATTAAAATCTATTCTTGACATAGCCCTTAGCAAAATTGATTTATTAAATATGAGAATCAAAGATAACAAAATTATGGACAATATGTGGCATTTTACTTTCCCTTTCAATCTGAAATACCAACCTAAACCATTGAGATTTATTCTGAGTAGGCAAAAATAAAGGATATAATATGACCAAATTATTACATGTATTCTGTTCTTAAATCAGGCAAAATATTAATACAAAATCTAGGTTTATGTAGTGATATGTTCATGCAATTTTAGTAACTTAATGAAAAAGCATTTTTATTTTAGCATATTACAATGATAAATTAATTATGTCCTTGTGTCATTTCTTCAAAACAAAAAATTACAACTTTCTGATTATAAGAGAATTGTAACTTATACTTTTGCAAATATAGACATGAATATTTTAAAACTAAACATAATTTAATAGTGTTAAACATTTGGTAGGGGGCTATATAATTTGCTTCTCCTGATGAATAGTGATGAAAATTAAATTTGTCAGCATCTATATTATGTAATATTTATATTTTTACTTCGTATTATTTTATACGTACAGAAGGAAATGAAAAGGAAAATAATACTGAGTCACTAGCAAAGGGGTATCCAACAACTGTTATATTTCTTTCCTATGTTCCAGAATATTTCTCCTTGCTTAGTCTCTTCTGTAAATCCTGGTCTTAAACTTCTAACTGCTTCTCTGTCTATTAAAAACTTTATTTTTTGGATATTGTTTTTCTTCATTTAAGATTTTAATGATTAATGAATCGAACCGGATTAGTTTATCAACAGGCAAGTTGAACATTTCTTTTATTCTAGTACTTCCTCCATAAAAAATTCCATTAAGATCTTGTCTTTCTTAATTTTTTTTCCATCTGAGTCAATTCAGAGACTCGATTCCTAGTTGATGTACTTTTTTTGAAATTTTTCTTTAGAGCAATCTTTTGTAACTTTTGATATAAGAGGAAAAATAAGAGATAGGTCACAGTTTTTCCTCTAATTCAAGTTACTGTGATGAGACTAAAACCAGTTGTATTCCAATGCTCAGTGTGTTAGTCCATTTTCACCCTGCTGATGAAGATATACTTGAGACTGGGCAATTTACAAAAGGAAGAGGTTTACTGGACTTACAGTTCCACATGACTGGGGAGGCCTCACAATCATGGTGGAAGGAAGAGCAAGTCATGTCTTTTATGGATGGCGGCAGGCAAAGAGAGAGCTTGTGCAGGGAACTCCTGTTTTTAAAACCATCGGATCTTGTGAGACTCATTCACTGTCATGAGAACAGCACAGGAAAGATCTGCCCCCATATATCAGTCTCCTCCCACAAGGCTCCTCCCATGTCACGTGGGAATTGTGGGAGTTACAACACAAGATGAGATTTGGGTGGGGACACAGCTGAACCGTATCACTCAGTAATTTAACAGACAAATAAATAGTATGCTTGAACACTGAAAACAGTTCTTTATAAGGTCAGTTTGCCACCGCCATTCTCATAGTCACTAATTTATCTAAGTCTGAATGTAAAACTTCTAAAACATATAATAGACATTTAGTGAGAAAAAATATGATATGGTAAATATATTTGCAGTATGAAGCTGGGGATTTCTAAATGGAAATTTGAACAGCTTTTCAGCCAGATGAGTATTTAAACAACCTGTAATCTTAGATAAAATATAAATTCAAAAAGACTTTATGCAGTAAAATGTTATTAATTTCTACATGTATGGGATTTGAGATAATTTGGTTCAATGAACGGTTTGTCAAATGTCTGTTATATAGGAGGAATTTTTGCAGGCATTGGGCACACAAATAAATTAAGTTTCCAGCCCTTGACCTCCCGAA